TGAACTTCAGCCCCCCTAGGGCAACCCAAGTCCAAAATTGGCTACCAAAACCCTTGGGATTGGGCAAGGTGCTTCTCACAATTACCAAAGTGGGAAATCCTCACAATCACACATACCTAGGCAACAAAATGAATCAGATGATAATGGTTCACTCGAATCATTGCTCAAGGGTTTTATAAACCAGACCAATGCAACGTTAAGAAGTTTCGAAATCCAACTTGGCCAATTTGCCGCCAATCTCAAGGGTAGACCCTTAGAAACTCTGCCTAGTGAACGGAAACCCCTAAGGGTAAGGAGTATATCAAAGTCGTAACCTTACTAAGCGAAGATAGTTCAAGAGTCAAAAATCACATAAATGAAGCCTTCGGAAAGACAACCCATCAAAACGAGGATTCACACGCTTTTGATAGGTCAAAATTTCCAATTTTCTATCCTCCCCGTGGAGAAACTCAAAATTCAGCTTCTGTCCAGAAAACAGTCCCTACATCCACGTCCAACACCAAACAACTCTCAACTCAGACTTCCCATTATGGGAAGATTGTGCCCACTCTCCAACAGAAAAAGTCCAGCCAACCAACTCTAGATTTGCAAATTTACCTTTTCCGAAAAGAATGAAAACCAAAAATGTGGACGAGAAATTTAAGAAGTTTTTGCACATCTTTGAGCAACTTCACATTAACATACCTTTGGTAGAGGCTCTTAAGCAAATGCCAATTTATGTTAAATTTTTGAAAGACATTTTAAATAGAAAGAAAAGGTTGAACGAATTTGAGACGGTTATTTTGACCAAATAATGTAGCGTACTCCTTACTTGCAAAATTCCTCCCAAGCTTAACAACCCGGGAAGTTTTACCATCCCATGTTCTAAAGGAGGAAAAGAACACTAGTACAAAAATGGCTTTTTGCCACGATTTTGGAAATGTCGGTTTGCCACGGTTGGATCTAGAACCATGGCTAAAAGTTATAAATAATATGAGAGGGTTATTTTAGCCACGGTTTAACTCAATAAGCGTGAGCATTACGAAATAGGTCCAAACATAAAGCCATGGTTTAGAAAAGGTTGTGTGACTAAAAGGTTTCCTATGGCTACGGTTTTTTGACCATGGCCAATAACTATCAAAAATCGTGGCCATAGGCAAACATCTAGTTACGGTTTTTGTCAAAACCATGGCTTTATGTTGTAACGGTTATTATCCGTGGTGATAGATAGACATATTGCCACATGAATACAATTATTCGTGGCAAAAACAAAATATGTATAGCCACAAAAATATGTTAAATATGACCAATAGTCACTGTTTTTTATGGCCATGAATTATTCTATTACGTGGAACAAAAAAGGTAACTAGTAGCCATGAGTCTAAAAATTAAACTTAATTATATGTCATAATTTGGTCACGGTTAATATGAAATTTGTGGGGCTATAAGTATATACATACATACATACACACACAAAAACATATATATATATATATATATATATATATATATATATAAGATCATGGTTAAATCTAATCTATGCGACCAAAAGGTAACCGATAGTCACGACTGAAACGAATCAACTCACATGACTAATAAATTGTATATGGGCACGATTTTTATCATTTTGCGTTACCGAAAGCTAATCAATAGACATGGTTTCAAAAATTGAAGTGTAACTATATGTACTAATAGTTTATGGTCACGGTTTTTATAAATTTGCATGACTAAATATAACCAATAGCATAAGTTCTAATATATATATTGAATGGCCACAAATTTTGTTATTTTTTGTGGCCAAAAGATAACTAGTAGTCATGGGTCTAAAAATTTGGTGCAAGTATATGTGATGTTTTGGCTACGATTAATATGAAATTTGTGTTGTTATAAGTATAGCCAAGGACACATTTAATATGCAATTTATGTTGCTATAAATATAGCTAATATCACGACTAAAATAGATCTAGTATACGTAACAAATATAGTTAATACGATGGATGAACAAATCAAGACATTGGAGAAGGAAATTGAGGACCAAAACAAAAAATTCAGGTCTGTAAGTCCATTCGGGATTGTTTGTGTTCTGTTTTGATTCCATAAAACGGCAGCAAGGTGCCGTCGTGGTTCATGGACTGTGCAAGCTCGAAATCGGCAGCTAAAAGGATTGTTTTGTGGTTAAAAATTATCAGGTAAAGGGGTTGTTTCGTGGCTAAAAAACAATAGCTAGGGGGCTGTTTTTTGGCTAAAAATCAGTAGCAAAAGGACCTGTTTTGTGGCTAAAAAAAGCAGCAACAATAGGGATTGTTTGGATGTCGTTTCGAGACTGTTTTGGGCCATGTTTAGAGGTTGTTTAGAACTGTCCTAGGGTGCTCTTTAAATATGTTTTGGGAAGCATTTAGGACTTGTTTAGAGGGTCATTTACACCTGTGATTATTGATACATTAGAGGATTTTGGGTTCCTACAATAATTATTTTTAGTCTCCCTACAGTTTTTTATTTTTTCTTTGGATAATCGTACCTTCCAGTGCAGATCCTAAAGAACAATTTGTTGTCATATGATCTCCATGATCAATCACTATACATTAACCATTACAAACCCAACCAAATAAGAGAAAAATGTGTGCATTAACACCTGGAAAAATAATGAAATAATCAAATTATAAAGAGAATAGTGAATGCGTGACAAGAGTTAAAAGAAATAAATATAGTCCTTTCTAACCTGAAACAGTTAACCGGGTAGCCATATAATCTATTCATTCTCATTCTTTGGAGATGAATACTAAAACAGACATGGACCCAATATTGACTACTTGTGTCACACCACATAGCTACTCAAGTATCTCACAAAAGGTGCACTTTGAGTCTTTTAAGCCAAATATATACTTGAATGATAATTCTCATTCTTTGTGATTCAAATTGCATATCTTTGTGATATTGCCATAACAATTTGAGAAGTTAGTTATAAAACTTTACTTCAATGATAACTGGAAGTCCTATCAAAGATTCATTATTGTCAATTCTGAACATAAGCCACACAATTATTTTTAATTGTGATAATAGTTGTTAAATGTGCTTTTATGTTAGACTTTTACCCAATACTCAGGGAGAAGTGCAACAGTGTAAAGATCTATTTATAAGGAGGAGAGAATGTTATTCTAATAGAGATTTTCTTTCAGTGGGGGAGAAGTCAAGTTAAACTGATTGAGAATATGTTTCAGTTCTTTAGGGGGAGTATATCTGAAGAAATGTGTAAAAGGGTAGAATGTTAGGTCTTTGCTTGTTCATGATGTTCAGGATTCTTCTAGTCACCATGAGGGGGAGAAACGTCATCAAAAGGGGAGAAATGTTATCAAAGACACGATATCAAGGGAAGTTGTTTGAAGATTTACTGATAAAAGGGGAGAAACGTTTTCAAAGAGAAATTGTTTGAAAGTGTACAAAGTTCATGAAGAATTTGCTAAGAAAGTATGTTTCTTGAAGAAGATAGTTGAAGATTAAGAGATTGTTAAAGTCTGAGAAAGATGAAATTGCTAAAAATGTTTGTTTCTTGAAGAAGATAGTTGAAGATTAAGAGATTGTTAAAGTCTGAAAAATATCATGAAAATTGAAATTTTGAAGAAAGTTTTTGAAGAAAGAGAGTTTGTTACTCAAAGAAGGAGTTTTAGCAAAGTTTCTACAAGGGAAGAATGTTTAAAGTCTTGAGAGAACATGGAAGAGAATGTTCAAAGTCTTGAGAGAGAAATTTTGAAGATTTCAAGATGTTGAAATTTGGTGGTGCTAAAAGTCTGAAGAATTTTTTGCTGATTTTTTTTTGAGTTGTTTGATAAAGCTTGAATCCAAATGGGGAGAATGTTAGGTTCAAATTTTTGTACTTAAATGTTGTATCCAAGCTTTATTTTTCTAGTATATGTCTTGTGTGTAAATAGGATGCTTATAGTCTTAGTCGAAAAATCTTGTGGGTGATTGTAAGATCATATTTGTAATCATTTGAAGATCCAATACGATTGAAGCATTGAAAATCTCCCTCTCTACATTCCTACTCTTTTTATGCTTTTACATTTGCTATTGTAATCTTGAACCATAGTTCGTGTTATTGATTAATCTTCTGGGATTATCACTTTACCACTCTATAATTGAAGGAGAATGTCTATGTAGAACAACCTTAATGGTTTATTCAAAAAGGCGAAGAAGATAAAGTGTACAAACTCGACAAAATGTTGTATGGATTAAAAATGGTACAACAAAATAGAGGCACACTTTGTGAAAAAAGGTTTTCAAAGATGCAGTAAGGAGCATACATTGTTCGTCAAAATTGAGGAAGGTAACAACATTCTAATTGTTAATCTATATGTCGACAATCTGATTTTTACCAAAAATTCCTAGTCAATGTTTGCAAAGTTCAAGTCATCCATGGAGAAGGAATTTGATATGACTGATCTGGGAAAGATGAAGTATTTCCTTGGTGTGGAGGTAAGTCATAAATCGGATGGAATTTTCATTAATCAAAGGAGGTATGCTGAAAAGTTGCTAGAAAGGTTTAATTCTGTCTAAAACCCAATTGTACCAGGTTCAAGACTAACAAAGAACGATGATGGTGACAAAGTGGATACAAATTTATACAAGCAACTCATTGGAAGATTGTTGTATATCATAGTCACAGGACCCGACTTGATGTATGTGGTATGCCTATTAAGCAGTTTTATGGCAGATCTTTCATAATAACATACGTAGGCCGCAAAGAGAGTCCTTAAGCTTAAATTGTTTTTAATCAAATTAGTTAAAGCTACAATTTGCGCATTTAAATAAGAGATTGCATCAAGTTCATGAATGTCCGAGCGGCCTTAGAAACAACAACACGAGGGTTTGACTATTCAATATTATTGCTAGAAATTTTCTCCAAAATGTCATACACTTCGTTATAGGTTTTAGCTGTGAAAGCTCCACCGGCCATTGCATCAAGGATAATTTTAGTGGCACTAGAAAGTCTATTGTAAAATGTTTATAATTGAATGCAGTGAGGGATTTCATGATGAGGACACCTCTGTAGAATGTCCTTGAATCCCTCTCATGCGTCCGAAAGCGCTTCATCCTCATCTTGACGAAACGTCATAATTTCATTTCTAATCTTCACATTCATTGTTGGAAGAAAGTATTTTTTTATAGAAAATTTTCCGCCAAATCATTCCAAGTAAGAATCGAGTTTGGTGGCTGAGAATTTATCGATGCTTTAGCTCTATCCTTTAATGTGTAATAGGAAAAGTGTCAAGCGTAAGGCTTATTGTATGATTTCGTGAATTTTAAAATGAATAGTCATTTCTATAAAAGTTTTAAATGAGAGTGCGGATCTTCCAACGATAATCTCCCAAACTGACCCATTACGGAAATAATTTGAAAAATTACCAGTTTTGGTTCAAAAGTTGTTGTTGTCATTTCGGGTCTACCTATTCCTGCAGCCAATTGACCGAATTTTGCGTAGTCCCGTATTCCTCTAGTTTTATCATCGTCAATTTTAAGCGTGGCCTTCCGAAGAGGTGGTAGTGGATTATCCCATATGATACGGTTTAAATTAGGGTTTTGTCGATTATTTCTACCTCTTCTATGTCTTGTAATGGTTCTTTCTAATTTAAGATCGAGAGATAAAAGTTCACCGTATTGTAATCGTGGCATGCAACATGAAAAGTGCCAATGAAACAAATGACCAAGGCTAAAATGAAAGTCAATATCTCAGCATAAAAACCGCGCCAATCTCCGGCAACGATGCCAAAAACTTGGTAGCTTAGAACCGTTCGTGTTTACACAGTAGGCACATAGTCCCCACAGTGGCGGTGCAAGTGAACGCCGACACTATCATCGCTTACAAGTAATAGAGTGGTAAAGCACCGAGATCGTTTTCACAAGGATTGAACTACTGAGAATCGAAGAATTTCATGAATTTCTTGAACATGTTTCGGTTTGTGAATAAAAGTTGGATTTTTGTTAAAAAGCTTTAAAAGACGAGATATACTTATAAATAAAAAGATGGACATGAGTGTAAATATTCCTTAAGATAAAAACAATAATATAATGGTCAGAAACTTATGAAATGTTTATAAAAACTTCAATCTCTCGAAAGTGAATATTTATAGGCAGATCCCACAAAGTTCCCACTCTCACCACTCCAAAGCTTGCTGAGTTAGCTAAAAATAAAAGGGAATGAAATTCATACTCAAATCTCTTTGTAATACAAATATCTAATGCTTGAACCTTAGCTAAATACATACAAAATTTGTATCTCTACGTAATTATCAAAGACTTTCTCAAATCTTTGTGTATCACTTAAGCCGTATTTCGAATCCGCCTATTTTTGGGTCAAAGATCTAGTATTAATACTTCAAAGTGATTGGCTTATCCGTGTTGAGTTTTAGTCCCGACTTAAGTGACCAGTATATGAAGTGGTAAAGAATGAAAACACCCAAATATTGCATAAAAATCCTAAATTAACTCACACCCACAAAAGTAATTAGCTCATAATAGATATGAAAAACATAATAGAAGACAAGAAATAAAACTTAAATGAAACTTTCATTAAAATAAAACAAAAGTTCGTCGCCACAGTGGTGAATCTGTGGGCAACATATTACAATTAAGAAGCTTAATACAAGAAAATGAAATGCTAAAACTTAACTTAAAAGTAAAATATGGAGAGACTTCAGTTGAATTGGGTTGATCTTCAGCTGAATTGGGATGATCTTCAAAATTACTGTTGGATTCTTTATATAGGGAAGGAAAGGATAAAGATGACCACTATTATCCAAAGGAAATGAGCCTTTCAAATATTTTGTGGTTAAACACTCATCCCACTTCCTTTTTTTTTATACAAAATAGGTAGTTCCAGCTGTAATAATCTTTTAGAAAGATGTTCAAGAAAACTTACTTTAAAAAGTTGGTCCTTATCCATAAATTCGGAATCTTTCTACTATGGTGACACTGTGGGCGCAGTCTCAAAGTGATGGTTTTCAGAATAAATTCCCATCCTTTGTGTTTTATCATCTTAAAAAAATAGAATAAACGAGAAAAAACAAGAAAGTGTTTAAAAGATGTAAAAACGAGAGAAATAAACAAGAAATAACTCTAAAAAATAAGAGTTATCACTTATCTTCAGTATGTTTCTTTTATGCATGCTGAATTGAGTGAGTGACATCGTGTTTTCCATTATGAATAGTTTTTAATTTTAATTATTTTTTAATTATTCATGTTGAATAAAATATATTTATCAACATGTTTTTCATGTATGTAGTATATTTGTAATTATATATCTTTATGCATTCTGAATACAGTCATTTGTTTGTCTTAGTATTTTTTATGCATTATGAATATAAATATTATAGTAGTATATCTATGTTTATAATTATAAAATTGAGATCAATGATGTATTTTATAGATCAATTTATAGTGGGGGTCAAAAGGGGCAACCAACTATTGAAATTGAGGGCAATGATGAATTGAAGTTTTGGACTCCCATCATAGATGATGATATTAAGCTTCTTGTTGGAAAAGTTTTCGATTCACTAGAGAAAGGTATTAAAATATATAGAAAGTATGCTTTTAAAGCAAGATCTAATATCAGACTATTTTCTTTGAAAAAAAAAAGCATATGCGATGATTATTTTGAGATAAGTTGTATGCAATGAAGCTGGTTTTCCAGATTCCATCCAAGTATATACATTGGATGAATCGAAAAAAAAGGAAAAGAAGTTCAAACATTCATAGAACTGGTTATGATGCATGCGTGAAGTTGAAGGTTGTTCCTGGTATGAGCCCTTTTATGTTATATGCATTGGAAGAGAAACATAATCATTGTTTATTTGATAAAGATTCAAAGCACTTGCTGAAAAGTAGTCGGAAATTAGACTATTCTCAGCAAAGGTGGATTCTTAAGATATCAAATGTGAATATTGGCGCTACACGAGCCCATAAGATTCTTTATCAGTTGAAAGGTGGGTATGAAATGATAGATGGTACTAAGGTTGAGTATAAAAATTTTCAACGGGATCGTAATTGATCCATTTAATATTTGTTGTTCTTATGTTCTTGTATTAATGATATGTGTTTCAGGTACAGTATGGTATTCGTTCCATTCACAAACATTGACAATCACAAGAATTATGTAACTCTTTGAGTGATGGTCTTCTTGATGGAGAAAGTATTGAAGGGTACAAATGGTTGCTTCTTTCATTCTTGAAATGATTTGGAGGCAACCAAAATTTGTGGTAACTGATCAATGTCTTGATATTAAGCAAGTTGTTATTGAGGTCTTTTACAGAGTCAAGACATGGGTTCTGTATGTGGCACATTACTACAAAATTGCATTCTAAGGTAATTCATTTTTTTTGTTTATTTGTATGTGTCCCAAGTATTTTAATATGCATTATAATTATTATATGAAGAATTGGTTTTTAGATTTCTTAAGATTTTGTTTCAAATACTGATTCCAAGAGACGTTTTCATGGTTTTAAATGGGATGAGCACATTGATCCTATTAAATTTGAAGAGAGATGAACCTCTTTACTGGTTGAGTTTGGTCCTGTTGGGCATAGGTGGTTGTCTTATATGCATGATAATAAGCATAGATGGATTCCCTCATTTTATAAGGATATTCCAATCGCTCGACTAATGAGAACGATATCGAGATCTCAAAGTGAAAGTTCATTCTTTTCATTATTTTTTCATCATGGTGCAAAAATGGAGGGTCTATATCGGTTTACATAGTTTGTTAAAATAGCAGGGTTTGTAATTGAAACACACTATATATATGAACTTAATCATTTGAGAACTTCAAAAATTGTGAGAACTTCTATTTTAAGGTTTTCTTCACATGATTTTTTCCGTTTAAAAATAGTATTTACTATATTAATTAACATATATTTGGTTTACAATGTACTTGTTTCATATGTATTCGGTTCATAATGTAAAAAAAATTACGTGTATTTTTTGTTTCACAAACACGTAAAAAATGTTCACATTATGAACCGAGTACATGTCAAACGAACATATTGTAAAAAAATATATGTTAATTAATATTCAAAATCATAGTCTTAAATGGAAAAAATCATATGAAATAACACAAGTTCTCAAGATTATCACAATTTCATTTTATATATATATATATATATATATATATATATATATATATATATATATATTAACACATGTTGTATAAGTTCTTAAGATTATCACAATTTCATGAGTTCTTAAAAGAAGACCCCCATATATATATATATGGTTGGGTTTCGATGAG